CCGAAGTGGGCAGATCACCTGAGGTTGGGAGTCTGAGACCAGCCTGGCCAACATGGAGAAACTCTATGTCTACTAAAAATACAAAAATTAGCCAGGCGTGGTGGTACGCGCCTGTAATCCCAACTACTCAGGAGGCTGAGGCAGGAGAATCACTTGAACCTGGGAGGTGGGGGTTGCAGTGAGCTGAGGTCGCACCATTGTATTCCAGTCTGGGTGATAGAGCGGGACTGTGTAAAAAAACAAGAAAATCGGATTGGCCAGGCACAGTGGCTCACATCTATAACGCCAGCACTTTGGGATGCTAAGGTGGGCAAATCACAAGGTCACAAGTTCGAGACCATCTTGCCAACATGGTGAAACCCCATCTCTACTAAAAATACAAAAATTAGCCAGATATGGCGGCACATGCCTGTAATCCCAGCTATTTGGGAGGCTGAGGCAGGAGAATCACTTGAACACAGGAGTCGGAGGTTGCAGTGAGCTGAGATCGTGCCACTGCACTCCAGCCTGGTGACAGAGCAAGACTCCGTCTCTAAATAAATAAATAAATAAAATAAAAATAAAAAATAAAAATTACACAAATAAATAAAAAAAAAGAAAGACAGCAGTATGTTCTTGGTGTTTTACATAAATGAACTCTGAATTTTCACAAAGAAACGAAGCGCAGTCTTGGTGTTAGAATCATCACTCAGATTAGCAAAGAGCGAGGTCCGTGACGGGGTCACACAGCGAGGAAGGTGAGGCCTCTCTGCCGGCAGCAGTAGGGGGCCTGTTTTCATGGTTTTATGAGGCCAGCTGTGACCTCCCTCCTGTCTTCCTCAAGTCACAGCCCAAGGTTGGCTCCACAGTCTTGGGGGCAGAGAAAGTCCCATCCCCCTGCCAGCCGCACCTGGGCAGGCCCCAGACCAGGCCAGCTCTGTCTCCTTCAGCCTTGGGGTGGCTCAAGACCAGTGGGCGCTGAGGGCAGGGGTTGGGGACATGGTGAGGGCGGCCTAGAGGTTGTGGAAAAGTGCCTGTGACCCTGGCGTGGGACTGCGAGAGACCCGTCCCCAGGGTCCTGTAGGGATCTGGTACCTACACCTCTGGGGCGCCCGTGGTGGGGCAGAGACGGCAGGCGGCCTTAGCAGCTTCTCCTTCCCAACCCCCCAGTGGGGCCTCGGCCGCCACTGTCCTCAAGTGTCCCCCACTTACCCCCAGCCACAGCGCACCAGTGAGGCTTCGAGAGGGAGGCGCCTCCAGGAACCTGCACGTTCACAGTGCATTACGAGCGCAACATGTGTTCATCATGGAGCTCCTCGAAGACGGCCTTCACAGGAGAAGCGGCCTCTCCTGTGTGCTCTTCCTGTCCATCGCTGTGTCCACTCTGGGTGGTTGCTGAGGAGCCCCTGCCTGGCGTGTGGATGCTGGATGTGGGGCTGGCCACAGCCCCAGCCCCAGGCAGCAGGACCAGGCTCAGGGCAGGGGCTCCTACGGGCAGCCGAGGCAGCCTCAGCAGTCTCAGCCCTGGAGGCTCCCGCTGCTGGAGCCCAGCGCAATGGGGAGGGAGAGGGGATCCAGGATAGCTCTCCGGGGCTGCTGCATCTGCCAGAGGGCAGGGCCTGCTTCTTCGGTGCTGAGCCGTAATTTAATGCTGTCTATGGGACTCTGAATTTCCCAAGAAAGGCTCAAGCTCGAGCGCCCCAGGAAACCCAGAACCAGATGGACACAGGCGACATGGCCTTCCTGACCTCAATTCTGCCTGCTCACCAAAGGCTGAAGCTTTAGGAGGAAAGGAATCTGTGAGTGCTGTGGACACTCAGAAGGAGAATGTTTCTTGGCCTTGTGGAGGGAGAGAGGAGCTCAGCGCCCCTCCCCTGTCCCCTGATGACACCCCCTGGCCCAGCCCGGGAGGGCCTCTCCAGAACAGGCCACAGGTGGCCACAGAGACGCTCCTCCAATGACCCAGACCCAGGCACTCTACCTTAAAAGGAAGTCCAGGACAAACCCAGGCCCACTGTCCAGGGCACGGTCCCGGGGTCCACAGACAGGATGGCCCTGCTCAGTGACCAGCACAGCACAGACAGGTGAACAGGGAGCGAGGCTGGGCCAGCACCGGGGCCAGGACACCTCCTGGGAAGAGGCTGACCCAGAGCCTGAGTAGAGGAGCCTGCTGGGGAGACTGAACTGGGGCCTCTGGTGGGGCTGTCCTTGTTGACAGAGTTGGATACACCACATCAGGGCAGGTGCCTGAAGTGGCACGGGGGGAGGTGCGGGGATGTGGCCATTGTAGGCACCAGCCTGTGCACCAGCGGGAGTGCCATGTTTATTCCGGGGGGGGCCATATCTGTTCCAGAGAGCACCAAGGCTGTCCCAGGGAGCATCGTGTCTGTTCCAGGGAGCACCGTCTCTGTTCCAGGGAGCACCGTGTCTATTCCGGGGGGCCATCTCTGTTCCTGGGGGTGCCGTGTCTGTTCCAGGGAGTGCTGAGTCTGTTCCAGGGAGCTCTGTGTCTGTTCTAGGGAGTGCCGTGTCTGTTCCAGGGAGCGCCGTGTCTGTTCCAGGGAGCACTGTGTCTATTCCGGGGAGGCCACGTCTGTTCCGGAGAGCGCTGTGTCTGTTCCAGGGAGTGCTGAGACTGTTCCAGGGAGTGCCGTGTCTATTCCGGGGAGACCATGTCTGTTCCAGGGAGTGCCGTGTCTGTTCCAAGGAGCGCCGTGTCTATTCCAGGGAGCGCCGTGTCTATTCCAGGGAGTGCCGTGTCTGTTCCAGGGAGCACAATGTGTATTCCAGGGAGCCCTGAGGCTGTTCCAGAGGCTGTTCCAGGGAGGGGCACGTCTGTTCCAGGGGGTGCAGTGTCTGTTCCAGGGAGTGCCGAGACTGTTTCAGGAAGCGCTAACGCTATTCCATGGGACTCCATGTCTGTTCCAGAGAATGCCAGGCTGTTCCGGGGAGTGCTGTGTCTGGAGTGCTGTGACTGTTCCAGGGAGGGCCATTGTCTGTTCCAGGAGGGCCAAGGCTATTCCTCAGTGGTGCTAGCTGGTGGTGCACTTTGAACACATCCCACTCTGCTCAGGTGGAGAAAAGGCTGTAGATGCCATGGCCGCCCGTGCAGGGAGTCAGCTCCGTGCCAAGGTGAAGCCCAGCTGCTGTGTGCTCCCCGGCCCCTAGGACGGCCTCCAGGGGAGGTAACAGGTGCTGGCCTGGGGCCCACAGAGGGCCTCAGAGGCGGCGGCGAATGAACAGAAAGGTGAGGGGTCTAGCCCCATCCCGAGAGGGCCAGGTGGGTGGTCGAAGCCTCATGGGATGGACAGGGCTGTGCCCTCAGAGGGGCAGCGTCCACACCAGCCCTGCCCAGCTTAGAGGCGGCTCTCTCCTGGGATGCTGCGGCCTGGCCACCTCAGGGAAGGTGACATGCCCAGGGCACCACCATTGCCCTCAGCATGAGCCGAGCTGGGAGCGCAGAAGAGCAAGGCAGAGAGAAAGCCCCCAGAGGGGTCTGGGGCTAGAGGGGGCAGCCTCATGGGATAGGGAAACAGAGGCAGAGAGCCTTGGCCACTGCCACATGGGAGCGGGGCTTTCACAGGGGAGAGGGCTGTGGCCCTGCTCCATGGAGGGCATGTGTAGGGTGGGCCTGGGCAGAGGCCGGGATGTAAAAAGGCAGTAAATCGGGCCGGGCGCGGTGGCTCAAGCCTGTAATCCCAGCACTTTGTGAGGCTGAGGTGGGTGGATCACGAGGTCAAGAGATTGAGACCATCCTGGTCAACATGATGAAACACCATCTCTACTAAAAACACAAAAAATTAGCTGGGCATGGTGGCACGTGCCTGTAATCCCAGCTACTCAGGAGGCTGAGGCAGGAGAATTGCCTGAACCCAGGAGGCGGAGGTTGCGGTGAGCCGAGATCGTACCATTACATTCCAGCCTGGGTAACAAGAGCGAAACTCCGTCTCAAAAAAAACGGCAGTAAATCCACAACAAACCAGCGGTCGACAACCCAGGGCGAGGCAGCCAGGCCAGGCTTTCAGCTCTCGCTGCTGTTCACAGGGACTGCAGGGCAGAAGACGTGAAGGGGCCCTGGGCCCCTACCCCATCTGCCCACAAAGCAGCTCCCACTGGGGCCCAGCCTAGCCCCTCCCAGGAGGCTTCCACCTGGCCTGGCCCAGGCACAGAGAGCAGAGTCTGGGGCTCGGGCTGACCCCCTGGCACCAGACAGCCTCCGGCCCCTCCCAGCCTCCGCTCCCTCCCAGCCTCTGTCTCCCTCTCAGCCTCCACTCCCTCCCAGCCTCCGCTCCCCCCAGCCTCCGCTCCCCCCTGGCCCCCGCACTCCCTCCCAGCTTCTGTCTCCCCAACCCTGACCCAGTCCCCATCTTGCAGGGTCTGAGTTTGCAGAAGCAGCAAGGAGGGAGGCCAGGTGGAGCCCTGCGCCCTGGGTGGCACCTCCCCTCGGGCTATGCAGGGATTCAGCTCCCTGCTTTGTTCCCCCCGGCTTTGTTTTTGGGGGAAGGTGCTTCTCATTTCTCTATCTGACCTGGAAGGTGTTGGGAGAGCAGATGCTCTTAACTCAAGGGATGAAAAATGGCTGTTTACAAAACTTGGAGAGCTGAGGGCCACCCAAGAAGCTGCGGGTTCCCTGAACCCCAGGAGGCAGTGCTGAGCACCCAAGGGGGTGTCAGCCCTCCACCTCACACACCGAGGGGCATAGGAGACCAGAGCTCCCCCTCAGTGGCCAGCCCTGAGCGGCTGCACTGTCCCCGCCGTTTCCCTTGGGATGCTGTCACAGGCCTGGCGCCAGGCCACCCACGCTGGGGCCCGAGGGGGCAAGCTGTACTGAGAGCCCCTGAGGACAGCAAGGCCACGGCAGGGCCTCCAGACTCATGGGGTCCCACGCTGTGGACACTGCAGAGAGGCCAATAGCTTGGGACCTGCAGCCAGGCCCTCGTCACTGAGTACAGAGTGGGTGACACTTCCCCCTATACACCCCCACGCACCTCCCCCTACAGTCGCATCCGGCTCAGACTCACCTGTGCAGCGGCACTCGCCAGCAGTGCGGTGACCAGCAGGGTCTCCTGGGTCCATCCTCGGGGCTGGGATGAGGATGCTGGCAGGCAGCTAAGGAGGATCTGCAGAAATGGACAGACAGGTGAGGTCCCTGAATGCAGAGCCCAGTGCAACAAGCAGCCCGTGCCTGCGGCCACCGGAGGTGGCAGAGAGACCTGGTGCCTTGGGGTGCCCCAGGTGGCGTCCCCAGTTGCTGAGCATAGCGGGCGGCTCCACTCTCCTCTCCTGGCTGGGATGATGGCCGCCAAGTTTGGACCCTGTGTTCCAGTTCCACGCCAAGCCACCCCAGCTTTTGGCAGGGAGGGCAGAGGGTGGGAGGGGCCCTGGGGAGGGCTCGGTAGACAGACCCTATCGGGCATGCAGAGGGGCCTGTTATCCAGGACAGCGTGACCCCCTTACCACATCCCCCTCAGGCTGTGTGTCCTGACGCTGGGGGAGCCACAGGGGAGGGAGGTGTTCTCCCTCAGAGGTCAAGGGCACCATGGGACCTGCTGCCCCTGGAGGACCAGGGACCTTGGAGTGATGCCCTCAAGGCCGACCCAGCACACAACTCCATTAGGGTCCAGGTGGCCGCTGGCAGCTATCATCCCAGGCGGACTGCAGGCTCCCCCAGAGTATTTTTTTTTTTTTGAGACAGAGTCTTGCTGAGATGCCCAGGCTGGAATGCAGAGGTGTGATCTCAGCTCACTGCAACCTCTGCATCCTGGGATCACGCGATTCTCCTGCCTCAGCCTCCTGAGTAGCTGGAACTACAGGTGCGCACCACCACACCCAGCTAATTTTTTGTATTTTTAGTAGAGACGGGATTTCACCATGGTGACCAGGCTGGTCTTAACCTCCTGACCTCAGTAGATCCATCAGCTTTGACCTCCAAAAGTGCTGAAATTACAGGCGTGAGCCACCGCGCCCACCCTGTTTTTTGTTTGGTTGGTTTTTTTAGACGGAGTCTCACACTGTCACCCAGGCTGGAGTCCAGCGGCACAATCTCAGCTCACTGCATCCTCTGCCTCCAAGGTTCAAGCGATTCTCGTTGCCTCAGCCTCCCAAGTATCTGAGATTACAGGCACCTGCCACCATGCCTGGCTAATGTTTTTGTATTTTTAGTAGAGGTGGGGTTTCACCAAGTTGGCCAGGCTGGTCTCGAACTCCTGACCTCGTGGTCTGCCTGTCTCATCCTCCCAAAGTTCTGGGATTACAGATGTGAGCCAGCACACCTGCACCCCCCCCCTTTTTTTTGAGATTGAGTCTCACTCTGTCGCCCAGGCTAGAGTGCAGTGGTACAATTTCAGCTCACCGTAACCTGTGCCTCCTGGGTTCAAGCAATTCTCCTGCCTCAGCCTCCCAAGTAGCTGGGACTACAGGCACATGCTACCATGGCCAGCTAATTTTTAGTAGAGGTGGTGTTTCACCCTTTGGCCAGGCTGGTCTCAAACTCCTGGCCTCAGGTGATCCGCCCTCCTTGGCCTCCCAAAGTGCCGGGATGACAGGCGTGATCCCCCACACTCGACCCCAGGGAGTGTTTTGGATGCAAAACCCTCATCTGCACTTACGAGGGTGCACCTTCTCCTACCTGCTTACATGAGGCTGCATAAAAAGGCTTTCTTCCGGCATGCGGCTTAGTCTGCATCACACGCAGCAGTTAAACAAAGCTCACCTCGCGAACTCCCAATCCTAACGCGGGCAGCCGCCCTCCCCCAGGCAGTCCTCACGGCGGCCATTTCCGGGGAGACGGGCGGGGAGTTTCTCAGCCTTGGCCTCCAGTTTTGCCTCCAGTTTTACCTTCAGCAGGCAGCTACGCCAGGGCAGCGTGAGAACCCATCCAGCCGCCGCCAGCGCGCACCACACACAGCAGCACAGACTCCTGAGGATGCCGCCTGCAGACTTGCTGCCGTGCCACGTGGGGGCTGCGATCCCAGACTCCTGCCCTCGTGGGGAGGGGCTGCTGTTCTCCCTTCACAGATGACTAAACCCAGACGACAGATCCTGGGATGTTTCTGGCAGCAGGCAGCGTGAGGCCGCGTTTCCCCATGGCAAGGCCGCGCCTGAGGCGCCCCAGGACCACTGCGCCCCACACCCGAGCCTGCCAAGCCGAGGGGGCTGCACCTACAGGACGTACAGCAGGAGGACCCCGAGGCTCCCAGGCCCCTCAGCCCCAGTGCTGAGAATACGCTGGGGCTGTAGCCCCAGCTGGAGACACCAGGGGCCACACAGCCCAGCCAAGAGGAAGGGCCCCATCAACACAGCTGGGCCCAGAACGGCCCACAGCTGAAGATGGTGCCAGGAGGAAGGCGGGCTCCAGAGCCCTGGCCAGATCCCCTCCAAGCACGCCCGGAAAGCGGAAAGCGGGAGCGACAGCCTCCAGGTGGCTACTGGGTCCCGCCCAGCTTAGGGGGCTTGACAAATGCCTTAGGCTCTCCGAAGAGCCCCTGACAAAATGTGAAGACACAAGCCCAGGTTCAAGGAACTCAGCCAGAAGCTGAACAGCCACGGGAGCCAAAAGCAACATTCTTCAGAGGATGATACCTAAATCCAGAGTGTCTACCATGGACAATTCACAGCACTCAGTGCCTAACAAAAATCACAAGACCTAAAAAGAAACAAGAAAATATGACCCACAATCAAGTGGAGAAACAGAAAAAACAGAACAGAAAGCAAATTCAAGGCAGCCCTCAGTTGTTGCTCTTAGCAAAGACTTCTAACACAGCATTGCAACCGTGCTCAGGAATAAACAGAAAAGACCTTCAAAGAGTTAAAGGAGGCCAGGTGCAATTTGGGAGGCTGAGGTGGGAGAATTGCTTGAGCCCAGGAGTTCAAGACCATCCTAGGCAACATGATGAAACTCTGTACCAAAGAATTAAACATTAATTGGGCATGGGGGCTCACACCTGTGGTCCCAGCTACTCAGGAGGCTGAGGGAGAAGGGCTGCTTCACTTACAGTTCTGCATGGCTAGGGAGGCTTCAGAATCATGGCAGGAGGTGAAAAGCACTTCATACACGGTGGCGGCAAGAGAAAATGAGGGCCGGGTGTGGTGGCTCACACCTGCAATCCCAGCACTTTGGGAGGCCGAGGCAGGAGGATCACCTGAGGTCAGGAATTCGTGACCAGCCTGACCAACATGGTGAAACCCCATCTCTACTAAAAATACAAAAATTAGCCAGGCCTGGTGGTGGTACCTGTAATCCCAGCTACTCAGGAGGCTGAGGCAGGGGTTGCAGTGAGCCGAGATTGTGCCACTGCACTCCAGCCTGGGCAACAGAGCAGGACTCTGTCTCAAAAAGAAAGAAAGAAAGAAAATGAGGAAGAAGCAAAAGTAGAAACCCCTGATAAACCCATCAGATCTCATAAGACTTATTCACTATCACGAGAATAGCACGGGAAAAACTGGTCCTCGTGATTCCATTACCTCCCCCTGGGTCCCTTCCATGACACGTGGGAATTCTGGGAGATACAATCCAAGTGGAGATTTGGGTGGGGACACAGCCAAAAATATCATCCCACTGTAGCCCCTGAAAATCTCATGTCCTCACATTTCAAAACCAATCGCGCCTTCCCAACAGTCCCCCAAAGTCTTAACTTATTTAAGCATTAACCCAAAAGTCTAGCCCAAAGACTAATCTGAGATAAGGCAAGTCCCTTCTGCCTATGAGTCTATAAAATCAAAAGCAAGTTAGTTACTTCCGAGATACAATGAGGGTACAGTCATTCCATAAATACAACCATTCTGAGCCAGGCGCAGTGGCTCGTGTCTGCAATCCCCACACTGCGGGAGGCCAAAGCCGGCCCCCCAGCTATTTGGGAGGCTGATGCAGGAGAATTGCTTGAACCTGGGAGGCAGAGGTTGCAGTGAGCCAAGATCCTGCCATTGCACTCCAGCCTGGGCAACAAGAGTGAAACACGGTCTCAAAACAAAACAAAACAAAGGAGTTACACGGCCCAGGCAAGTCAGAAATGTAGGGCAGTCAAATTTTAAAATTCAAAAATTATCTCGCCTGACACCCGTCTTGCATCCAGGTCATGCTGATGCAACAGGTGGGTTCCCGTGGTCTTGGGCAGCTCTACCCCTGTGGCACAGCACAGTCCCACAGGTGAGCCAGATGCTGGGGAGAACACAGCACGGTCCCACAGGTGAGCCAGATGCTGGGGAGGACACGGCACGGTCCCACAGGTGAGCCAGGTGCTGGGGAGGACACGGCACGGTCCCACAGGTGAGCCAGGTGCTGGGGAGGACACGGCACTGTCCCACAGGTGAGCCAGATGCTGGGGAGGACACGGCACTGTCCCACAGGTGAGCCAGGTGCTAGGGAGGACACGGCACGGTCCCACAGGTGAGCCAGGTGCTGGGGGGACACGGCGTGGTCCCACAGGTGAGCCAGGTGCTGGGGGAGGGGGACACATGCTGTCCCACAGGTGAGCCAGGTGCTGGGAGGGACACAGCATAGTCCCACAGGTGAGCCAGGTGATGGGGAGGACACATCACAGTCCCACAGGTGAGCCAGGTGCTGGGGGTGACACAGCACAGTCCCACAGGTGAGCCAGGTGCTGGGGGTGACACAGCACGGTCCCACAGGTGAGCAGGTGCTGGGGGTGACACAGCGCGGTCCCACAGGTAAACCAGGTACTGGGGGAGGACACATGCTGTCCCACAGGTGAGCCCGGTACCAGGGAGGACACAGGTGAGCCAGTGGCCATTCCCAAATTCCCAGGGCCTCTGCCAGCGGCTGTCCAAAGGACCTGCTTGGACCCTGCATGTCCCACTCTCGGACCTTTTAACTGCACTGGTGCCTGGCACAGTGTGCTCTGACCCACAGAGGGCAGGGCCAGCACCCCTGGGGGAAGGCGGTGGGCACCCAGGGCAAGAGCAGGGGCCAGAGCCCCAAGCCCCACTGCTTCCCCACAGCTGCTCCCTGGGGACCTCTGGACCATGTACTAATGAGGCAGAGTGGGTACCCACACACACAGGTCCACACCCTCCCGCCCGGCTCCTGGTGGTGTCCGTGGCCTAAGGACTCACAGAGCTTGCAGACAGAGCCCGGGATGGCCATTGCAGGCCACTCACCCGT